GCAGGCAGGGGGCGGGGCAGGCAGGGGGCGGGGCAGGCAGGGGGCGGAGAGACCGGCTGACTCCGCGGGGAGGGCGGGGCCAGCTTTAAGCGCGTGCGTGAGCGTGAGGGCCGGCTGACGGACGGCGAGAGCCGGGGACCAAACCGCGCCCGGCCCGCGAGTCGCGCGGCCCAAAGCGCATGCGCCGCCGCCCAGCCTGCCGTTGTGGGGCGCGCTCCTAGAACCCCGCTCGGGCCAAGAGTGAGCGAGCGCGCGCCTGAGCGCGCCCCCGGAGCCGGAGCCGGAGCCCCAGGTAACGGCACTTAGAGATCTCTTTGCGCAGAGAGGGCCAAGAGCGGGAAAACTGAGGTTGGGGGAGGGGAAAGCGTGGGTCCAGCTCACAGGTGGGGAAACTGAGGCTCAAAAAGAGAAGTCACTTGACCCCGGCCCGAGGCAGCAGGGGTGGGGAAGGGCCTCCTGAGACCCCTGGGCTCCCCTCGCTGGACCTGAGAGGCCCCCGGGGGGAGGGGAGGCCGGGGGTCACTGTGCCCACCACTGCCAGCGGGCCTCGGACCGAGCGGCTCCTGGCGAACCTCTGCCTGCCTCAGTTTCCTTCTCTGTAAGTCGGATCGGAGGCCAGGCGGGGGAGGGGCGGCTCATCTATCCCTGTCGGAATCTGGGTCCGCCCTCGGGACCCCTCTGTCCTCGTCTGGCTCTCCCCAGGACCCCCGCCCGCTTTGTACCCCTCGATGGGAGCCCAGCTTGGGGGACCCCAACCCCAGGTGTCACCGCCCCTCCCCCCACGCTGGAAGGCTGGGGCGGGGTCCTGGGGGGTTAGAGAGGAAGGATGGGTCACTTGGGGGCGCAGGGAGGGCCCCCCCCCCCCCCCGCTCAGCCCAGTCACCTGCTGCTCCTTGTGTGTCCTGTGACCAGGGGAGATCTGGGGGGCCCCCACTCGGATGGCCAGATTCCTGCCCATTTGCCCAATGTCCACTCACAGCCTGGAGAATGAAGGGAGCGGGATGGCTGCCAGGCCCCTTCCCACAGTAAGGGGGGCCCTCTTCGAAGCAGGGGGAGGGGGCTCCAAGGGTGACCAGACCTGGAAGCAGCCCCCTTAGGAGGACATGTGTGTGCAGAGGCTGACACACTCAACATTACCCCCCTGTGTCACTGGCTAAGTGTGCAATGCATTCATGACCCTTCCAAGCACCCCCACTGATCATTTGGGAGCTCAGAGCTATCAGAACAAGCTGCTGGTCTGAGAGTCCATACAGGTGATTCAGGCCCCGTATTGACCGGGGGTCACTCGCAGCCAGGTCACAGCAAGCCTCTGTGCAACAGTAAACACAAACTGGACTTTGGGCAGTTGGTACCTACTGCTCCCAGCCCTGCCCTCGGGCCACATGTGACAGGCCTTCAAACCCTTGATGACTGCTGTGGTGTCCCCTCAAGGTGTCTTATCTCTGCACTTCTCATTGGTTTCTCATCTGACCCTTCACCATCCTGGTCCCCCAGCTCCGGATGCCCCCGGCTTATCAGTGTCCTTCCTAAAACACGAGGCCTAAAACTCCGGGCTCCCTCCCCCTGCATGTTCCTGCTCCTCAATTCTGCCTAAATGGGCCTTCGCCTCCTTGGCTACAACATAGCACAGTGCTGACTCAGATCTTCTTCAGCTGAACTGATATCTGTCCACACCTCCCCCATCTTCTCCTTGTGAAATGCGGGACCCAATAGTCTAACCTGCCAAGATTATTTTGAATCCTAACTGTCATCCTGTATGTAAGTCTCAGCTTTGTAACTTAAGCAGTTCTGGTAAGCATGCAGTCGTGAAGTGAAATATTAAAAAGTCCAGATCCCTGGGGCACTCCATTGTAGACCTTTCAAGTTGACATCATATCATTTATTGCTGTTCCTTGCAAACCTACCTGATTATACTCCCTCAGGCCCCTGCCTTTCCCACTAGAATATCATAAGTCATTTTTTCATGAACTCTGTTTGCAGTATTCCCAGCCTCAGCCGGTGAGTAACCTTGTCAAACTTGGCCCACCCGACTTGTTCTTCATGAAGGCCTGGTCAACCCTTGGTGTGTGCTGCTTCCTTTTCTAAATGCTCACTCCCCATCCCTTCTGGAAGAGGCCGGTGAATTGGTGAATTTTGTCAGGAATGGAAGTGAAACACCCTGGCCTCCAGCCTGAAGGTTCCACTCTCTTCCCTTTTCTGAAAATAAGAACATTTGTCACCGTCCCTCCTGTGGTTCCTCTTCATGCTTTTTCAGAGTTCACTGATGGCATAAGTTGCACCTTTCAGGCAGGGTGCTGGGTTGGAATCAGAAAGACCTGACCAGGATGGGCTGGGACATCCCGTTGGGCAAAGGGCCTACCTTCTTTGAGCCTCAGTTTCCTCATCTGTGAAATGGGAATACCTGCATGACCCACTCCATTGAGATCACATATACAAATTGACCTGCAACCCTTTGCTAAAGAAACATTGTTACCTCCAGGTGTGGTATATCTGGGCCAGGTGATTTGGACCCAAAGGCCACAAGAAGCTCTCTTACTGCTTTCTTCTTGATTTTCACGTGTCCATTTCCTCATAGTCGTTTTTTTGTTCTGTCCCAAATTGATCTGAAATCATGATTTGTAGCCTTTACCGAAGTCACCCCTGCACCCTTGGTCATGGCGTAGAGATGACCCTGGCTTCTCAAAGGCTGTGCCCGTGATACTCATGGTGGGGTGACAGCAAACCTGGAAGGACCAAAGGATGGATGGTCTGTCCTTGCCCCAGGCCCAGGCTCCTTCAGTTCAGAGAGGAATCCTTTAGCTGAAACAGCTCTGCTAGGCTACCCCAAAGGCACGTGCAGCAGGACCTCCCTCCTTCCAGCTGCCACACATTAAGTATGCCTCCATGTTGGTCTCTGGGCGCACACAGAGTAATCACAGTCAGGAACAGCTGCTTCCCATGTAAAGGGTAACAACAGAACACAGGGGAGTTTATTGCAGAGGAGTGGGGGAAAGAGGCTGGGGGTGGCCTTTAGCGAGCCAGACTGACATGTATGATCAGTAAATATCACCCTTGGAATGAGGAATGAGCACTCAGCTGTTCTCGTCGGTGGACCGAGATATTAATGTGTATGAGACCATAGGAGTGCAAAGGGACAGAAGGCTTCTGGTGCTGACATCATCCTCTGCTGTCTCGGATCCACGTGACCCTATGTCCTTGAACTGGCAGATCCTGCCCAGCTGGCCGGACATCATGGCAGCTGGGTGTCATGTGCATTGTCTGAAGACCAGCCGAGCCCAGGCATTGGCTTGTCGCCAGGCCGGTGCTAGGAGATGATTGGGAAGGCCACAGCCGCTCTCAGACCATCTGCTGCCTCAAGGAGGAAGCCTTAGCACAAGTGATATCACAGGTCCTGGAAGGAAAGAGGAGGGGCTTGGAACTCACGAGGGATTCCCAGAGTTGCCATGAGGCAGTATTCTGTAAGCCATCAGGATGAAGGAGATCTGTACAAACTTTTTAATTTAGGAGAAATATACTGTGGGAAAAGTACATCCTAAAGAGATGGACAGAAATGGCTAGTGTCTACTTGAGGCTAAGTAAATATAATCCCATTTTTTAGAGAAAATGCTGTGTAGAGTATGTTGAGGAAGAGTCCTAAATTACAAATATATCAAACCAAGTAGAGGTTTTCACATTGTTTTTGATTTCAGTTAATGGTAAAGATCCTAGGGGGCCTCTTGAGGATTTTTTGTCCTATATTCTCTGCCTTTCTTCTCCAAAATCTTCAATGTATTGTTGGCATAATCCATAATGTGATACAAGCAAAGCCTTGGCTATCCGGTCTCAGAGTCCTTTAACAAAACCTCAAAATTTATCTGGATAATGTTAGGATTATCCTTCCACCGTGGAGATTTTGTTTGTATCTTCTGGTTAAGCTGGACAGTAACACAAAGAGAGCTGGAAATGGATTAATGCACATTAGTCACCGATGGGTTGGTCTCCTGGAAAAGGAGGTTTCTAGTGAAATGTATCCAGGACTTGTTTGTGGCTCTGTGCTAGTTTAAAAACAGGCTTATCAATGATTTGCATAAAGGCACATATCAATAAATGAAGAAACAAGCATTCATTAAGTGTCATGCGTGTGCCTGGTGGTATGCTAGGTGCTGAGATTACAAATAAAAAGAATAAAACAAACCCTTCTCTCAAGAATATATATGTGCTTATGTGCAGAATCTTAGAATCGATATAAAGAGAATAAATGCAAATAAATACAAAGTGCTTAAGTATAAGGTAGTTTAGGAAGGAAGGAAATCAAGAAAGGCTTCATGCAGAGGATGGTTTTTGAAGGGCTTATTTAAAGAAGAGGTACGTGGGTGGGTCAAGCCGATATAATAAAAGTGATAATACAGCCTAAATTAATTTACTTTAGTGCCATGCATAGGTGTAAAAAGGAATTTATAGAGCCAGAAAAATAATAACAAAATTCATCTGGAGGAGCAAAAAGTTAAGAATACCAAGGGAGTCAATGAAAAAAAAACAAAATAATAAGGAAGGGGGCCTAGCAGTAGCAGATTTCAAACTATACTACAAAGCTGTAAGTGTCGAAACAGTTCAATACTTGGTGAGAAATAGGTTGTACAATAGAATAGATCAGGTACACAATATCTAGAAGCAAACAATCACAATAACCTAGCCTTTGGTAGACCCAACAATCTGGCTGGCAGAAACTAGGTATAGACCAACATCTCACTCCTAATATCAAGATAACCTCAGAATGGGTGCATGATTTAGACATAAAAAGTGATAATCATAAAAAAAAAAATAGTGGAGGAGGGAAGAAATTACATGTCAAATCTATGGGGAAGAGTTCATGACCAAACAGGGGAGGGACAGAGAGAGAGAGAGAGAGAGGATCACAAGAGGTGAAATGGATAACTTTAGTTCCAAACAAAACCAATGCAGCCAAAATTAGAAGAAAAGCAGGAAATGGGAGGTGGGGGTGGGGAGAGGAGAACCTTTACAACAAGTTTCTCTGAGAAATGACTTGTTTCTAAGTTATATAGGGAACTGAGTCAAATTTACAAGAAAAAGAGCCATTCCCCAATTTTCATAGTCAAAGGACATGAATAGGCAGTTTTTGGAGAAAGAAATATGAGCTATCAATAGCCATATAAAAATGTTCTAAATCACTAATAATTAAAGAAATGCAAATTAAAACAACTCTGAGGTACCATTTCACACCCATCAGATTGGCTAAGATTAAAAAAAGGATACAAATGCTGGATGGGAAGTGGGAAAACAGGTACACTAATG